ATTAATCTTTAATTAAAGATTGTCATGTGATGAAACCTCCAGGAATACGTCAAACCAAAGTTGGCAACCCTATATAGGGCAGAAGACACTCTGCTACAGACACTGTATCACCTAGCTCTTATATAGCTCTTTACATCTTCAGAGCTCAAAGCACATTACAAAGGAGGTCAGTATCGTTATCCCCATTTTACAGATGGAGAAACTGAGGCACAAAATGGTGAGATGACTTGCCCAAGATCACCCAGCAAGCCAGTGGCAGAGACGGGACTGAACCCAGGTTTCATGAATCCTAATCTGGTGCCCTTATCAACGAAATGTATCCTAAAATGAAAAGAAGTCTGAAGAAATTACCCTCTCCCCTTCTCTCTAGCTGTTACAGGACCCAACTCGGCTCCCATTTCCTTCAACACAATCTGAATCGAGCGCAGAGAGGGAATAATAAATTGTCACCGGTCTACATGTCAAACATTTGGCAAGACACAGAGATTTCCTTTTACACTCTCATCACCAAGCTGCCTGTAGGCCTGGGACCTAACCCACCCCTATAATCAAACAAAATGGTAGTAAATAAAATAAACTCTGACCAGTGAATTTATGCTAACCATCTACACAAACAAAAAAAAGTCATAAATAAGTTACAATTTGGGCATAAACAGTAAAATGTAAAAGACTTTAGCAGGAAAAAAACCTATAGGTGCCAATGCATAATTGGTTAAATTTTGTTACCTGGGGGTATTGGGCAATGTAATAGGTTTCATAATTGTTTTTAAAATAGTTAGTTTTACCTATATAATGTAAATAAAAAACAAGGCTCTTTAAAAATGAACTCCGAACGGCCGTGCAAAAACAAGCTGCAAGGCATCATACCCCGTGTACAACCGTGATGTGTAAGGGTGCTGGATCCCCGGACAAGTGAATCCCAACTGGCCACTGGGTAAGATTCGTCTGTATATGGGAGTGGTAAGCATAATAGCTTGGCTTGGTACTGTATATGTATTTTGTGAATTGCTAATAAACAGATGATGTTTAGAGCAGTGATTCTCAACCGGGGTACATGTACCCCTGGGGTTACCCAGAAGTCTTACAGGGGATACATCAACTCATCTAGATAGTTTCCTCGTTTTACAACAGGCTACATAAAAAGCACTGGCGAAGTCAGTACAAACTAAAATTTCATACTGACATTGACTTGTTTATACTGCTCTATATACTATACACTGAAATGTAAGTACAATATATTTTATAATTATATGGTGAAAATAAGCAATTTGTCAGTAACAGTGTGCTGTGACACTTCTGTATTTTTATGTATAATTTGTAAGCAAGTAGGTTTTAAGTGAGGTGAAACTTGGGGGTACGCAAGACAAATCAGACTCCTGAAAGGGGTACAGTAGTCTGGAAAGGTTGAGAGCCACAGGTTTAGAGCACAGCTGTGTAAGACTCTTTCACTGGGAAAAGATCCAGCAGACCCATAAAACCCTAAGCCTCCAGGGAAAGGGATAAGAGCCGGTACTTAATTTGACCAGGTTTTGCCCTGAAGTCCTGGACGGGTAAGAGTGGGTGCCTTATACCCCAAGCCCACAGAAGGAAAAGGTTGGGGGTGCCTAAATTAACCGGGTCGTGCCTTAATCCCTCACAGGGTAAAAGGCGGGGTGCCCTAAATTGTGCAGGTAACAGGCTGAAAAAGTTGTCTGAGAATGGTGGACTCCATACACTCATATTATTATGTTTAGCAGTTGCTCATTTTCATGCACAGTATAGAAAAGCTGATACTAAATACTGGACATACGATACACTGAACCTGTTCTTGTTCCTATTGAAGTCAAAGTCAATGGAAAAATATCATTGAGCAGGATTGGACTCTGTCTGAATGGGCATCAATGTCCTTCATACATCCATGCACTTGCTGTAGTGTTAATTTGTTTGCAAAGAGTCTGGATTTAGGGACTGTTAAATGTTGGCTGCTTTGTTCTATATTGGATAGTTTAATACCAAGGAACAGTCGCCAGAAAACAGGCTCTGTTCCCTAGGATGGATGCAAGAGGAATCGGACAGATTTTAATTAGAGATGTAGTGAACTGCTCAAAACAATTTACAGTGGTATGTTAGCATTTGCTGTTTTGCTCTGCTGGATACATTTCTGAGCTAGAGCGAGTCGGTAACTATAATCCACTCCAAATAGACGTTCTGTTCCATTTTAGGTTCTTGTACTTCTCCCATCACAGGGGTATAGGAAGCTAGGAATTGTCATGCTGGATCAGACCAGGGTCCATCTAGCCCACTATCCTGACAGTGGTTGGTAACTGTAGCTGAGTGCCAGTTTACATGTCCACATATGTGCTGCTTATTTCTACACTTGTACATCTAGACCATGTTACTAGAATAACACAATGTGACATAGACTACCTTTGATCACATGCTTAACTTCAGTGGGAGAAAGGAAATGTGTCAGGAAAGGAGCTTAAGAATGACTGCTAGGTGAAAGTATGCAGTGTAGGTGTAGCTGCTTTGGTCCCAGGATATTAGAGAGTCAAGGTGGGTGAGGTAATATCTTTTATTGGACTGACTTCTGTTGGCTGACTGACAAGCTTTGCTGAAGAGGAGCTCTGTGTTGCTGAAAAGCGTCTCTCTCTCACCAGCAGAAGTTGGTCCAATAAAAGGTATTACCTCACCCCACCCCTTGTCTCTGCTAGGTGGAAGATGAGTCATTGGTCCAATCACATTCATTTCTGCATTTCTAAAAAGTAGAAAACCAGATAAAAATAAATTGGGGGTACGTCTGTGTGCAAAAAGCTGTATATAAAAAAACCAGCATTAGCCAGCTCTCTCAGATAGTTACTTTATCTGCCTGAACATTCAACCTACTTCAACCTTTTCCTCTGGTTTAGTTAGGAAGCAACAGCCTACTCCCTCCCATTCTCCAAGTCCCAGCATAGGTTGAGTCCAGTCCTTCCTCCCAACTCATGACACCCCAACGGCCTGATAAGCGTAAGTGCTGCACCCCCACACCTCCCCTTCAAGTCAATGATTGCTGCAAGTGTTCGGCATTGCTTGAGCTCAGGCCTCTTCCCCGAAGCAGGCACCAGTGTGCTGAAGATTACACGGCCAGGCCAGGGTCACCAGTGCATTGAAGTCTGCTGGCATGCAAAATGCACTGGGTGATTTAGGTCAGGGGGGAGCAAAAGGCCCAGCAAGGAGGTTGCCTAAAAAACTACCTGCTGGAGTCTTTATAAATGTGCAGAGAAAGGAATCCAGGGTTTATGGGAGAGTTGTGGTTTGAGAGGAGTCACTGCAGAAGTTGAGGGAAGGGGCAGCAGCTGGAGGACTATGCGAAGTTTTTTGGGGGTGGGAAGGGCTGTCCGAAGTCACAGAAGAGCAGGCTCAAAAGCTTAAATAAGGTACAGAAGGTTGCAAGTTTCTAACTCATTTTAAAATGCTCCCCTCAGTAATAAACCTCAGGGGTAAGGATAGTCTAGATTACTTTAATTGGCAGCAGCTCCTCGATCCAGAATAGTTCCTGCCTTGCTTCTTTATTCAAAACCCCTTCGGATTATTTTTGGAGAAATCCCATCTGTCGAGCTGAGTCATAGGAGCGCCAGCCATTTCTGTTCTTTTAAATTATGCCACCTGAAAGGGAAACCAGCACGCTGCAGCCTCGCCGACCTGCCACCGCACCGGGCCAATCAGTGAATCAGCAAACAGGAGCCGGAGTCAGTAGCTCAGTGTAGACACAGCGGACGCCCGCCCCAGAGGAGAAAGTTCTGCTTCGTGTGTGGGAGATCACGGGCCGCCACCACTTCACTTTTCCTTTCAGTTTGCAACAGCAGCCGCTGCTCAGCCCCGTCGCCACGCCAGGACACGCGGCTGCACTAAACACGCTGTAAAGCAGCCACACTCCTAGCGAAGAGTTGGATTGGGAAAAAAAAGCCCCCCCCCCTCCCCGCCACAAGCTGCGTTATTTCCTCAGGGGCTGGCGCTGCTCCACAGGTCTAACCTCAGGCCAGAAACGTCGGTAGCGATATTCGTTGCAGGCGCCGCGGAATGAGAAGCGGGTTCAATTTAGGTTCGCAGCCCGGCCCCCCCCCTTTTTGAGGGGGGCAACCCCCCAAATACCAATGAGGGTTCAGCCTGCTTTAAAAGGACGCTTGCGTTTGCACCACAACCCCTTCCCCAGCGCAAACAGGTGCCACAGCTGATTGCAAGGCGGGGACAGCAAAGGCCCCCCGCGATTGCACAGAGCAGGAAGAAGGAAACAACCCCCAGAACACCCCAGCGGCGGGACTGCCGCGGGCTCAATGCGCACCCGATCAAACCCCCCCGTGCCGTTAAAAGGCGCGTCTCTCGCAGGCACAGTGTTGTGTTTACGGCCAGCGGCTGCCTGTGCATTGCTCCGTGGTAACCTGCGGGCAGGGATCGCGCCTGGCTGCTGCCCTCCACCCGTGACAGGTGTGCCCAAGCCGGGCCGCGCGTTCCGGGGCGCAGCGAGCCGGTGTAAGCGGGGAGGAGGGGGCGTGGCTTGTGCAGAAGGGGCGTGGCTTGTGCCCAGGCGGAGGCGGGGCTTGCTGTGTGTTGCTCCAACCTCCCTGCTCCTCCGTGTATTTTTTTTTTTATTTTTTGGGGGGTGTCTTGTTAATCTCCGCGTAGCAGCCGGGGAAAGGGAGTAAATGGAACCGACGCTGTGAGATCGGAGTACTGCAGCCCCCGGACAAGTGAGAGGAGAAGGAGGGGGGCAGCTAAACAACCCCCCCCCCCCCCCAAAGTGAAGCCAGGAGAAGGGGGAGAGGAGAAAGAGAGGAAGGGGAAAAAGGAGAGAAACTGGGACTCAAAGGCAGGGAGCCGGCGACTTGTGGGGAACAACTTGTTGCAAACAGATTTGCCAAGTGAGGAATCCGCCTCTCGCTCCCCGCCGGGACCGGAGGGAGCAAACGCACCGTGCCTCGCTCCTCGTCCCCACAGCCGGGCGCCGGGGTCCACGCTCGCCGCCGAGGGGAGATGCCATTTGGACCATGTAACCTCGCTACCAGGAGTTGAGGCCGCCCTTTAACATAGCCATGAAGCTGGCCGAGCGACTCGTGTGCTGGGTCAGCTGCCTGGTGATCTCCGGGACCCTCCAGCCCGGCGCGGCGCAGGCAGGTGGGTTTGCAAAGCAGAGGCAGCTGTGAAACCTGCCGCCTGGGTTTGGGATGGTGCATTTCGTGCAGGGAGACGGCTTGTGTGGGCATTGCACGTTGGGAGAGGAACCTGAGCCGATCCGGGTTCATTTTCCCGGGGGTTTTGCCTTGATTCCCCCTTTCGGGTTCAGTTCCGTGCCGCGGTATTTCCCTGTGGTTTTGGCAGCGAGCGTTCAGCTCCGGCCATGCCTGTTTGCCTGGATGTGGCCAAAACCACAGTATCAATCAGTGGCTACTTTTTGTGTGTTCTCTGTAGGGGAGACACCGAGCGCGTAGCCCTCTGCCACCTGCGGAGAGCGGCCGGCGGGGGCTGCGGGTTGCTCCGGGGTTTGATCCCGATGTCTCTCTTTGCGCTAGCGGGGCGCACAGGGGGGCGTGGGAGCTCCCCTTCCCCACCTGCGCGCGGGGCTGCTGCCTTAGCCCGCCCAGCGGGGCTCTCGGCGGGGCGCGGAGCAGGCTCTGCCCTGCTGGCTGGCAGCCCCCCAAATTCTGCCTTGATAGCTCGCGCCCTCGCTGCCGGCTTTAGAGCCGAGCGGCGACACGGGCTGGCCACAAACTTCACCCCCCCCCCATGCTGCTGCTGGCTCTTGGCTCCCGACGTGTCCTTCAGCCTCGGCTCCTGGCCGCGGTCCCGTTGTAAACTCCCCGCGGGCTGGCGTCCCCCGAGCTGGGGGGAAGCTGCCCCGCTCTCCCGGGTGCAGGGGCGCGCCGGGGGGACGGCGGCGAGGCCCTCGCAGGAGAGGGGAGCTGGAGCCCCGCACTCCGAAGTTGCAGCCGCTGGGTGATTGCAAAGCGGAGCGGGCTGGGGGGGGGCTCTGCAAAGGCGAGGTGGGAAAACGCTGCTGGGGGGGGGGGTTGCGCAGTCTCCGGATCACCCCAGCCCAGGACTAGTGTTACTCGGTTGTCAAGTTCAGGCCTTTCTTGCCTGTAGTATGTTCTCCCTCCCTCCCCCCAATCACAAACAAGTAAAAACGCCTGGATTTAAACACATCCTGCGGGGGGGGGGGGGCCCGACGGGGGCCCCCCCCCCCCCCGTTAAACACAGTCCCGTTGTACTCGATGGATCTCTGTCAATATCCTCGCATGCGGGCGCTCTGTGTCTCTCACACACTAGTCTGCTCCTCCCGACTTTATCCGTGCACCGTGCTCTCAGCACGCATCGGTTAGCTCAGGGCTTGTACCCGCTGGATGCACCCTTCTTTGGGGGTTCCCTTTGATTTCCTGCTGCTGCCCTTCCATGGGGGCTGCTGATGCATGCTGGCCCCTTCCAAAGCAGTCGAGGCTGACATGTAGGCTGAGCTGATAGGAATTTCTGTGCGGCAACCTACAGGGTTTTCCCTCTGCTTCAGCTGTTGGTGCCCAGCAGTTCGGTGTTCACCGAGCTGTTGGGGTTACACTCCCCCTAAAAGCTCTGCTCAGAATTTCTCTCTAAGGAATTTAATGCCAATTAGTTCTGCCGCTCTCCTCTCGATGTAGGACATCTCTGTGTTTTGTATTGGCAGAATCACAAGTGAATCCAGTGGCGTGCTTAGGATTTGATGAGTGTATGTTCCACAATACTGGGTGATACAAACAGCCAGGCTCGAGTTTTTAAAACACAAAGTGATCCCGATAGGAAAGCTATTTGGTATATTTCTTTTCATTGAAAGACGCGGGATTCTGCGAAATTGCAACTATTCTGCGTGGAAGGGGGAGGGAGATCCCTTTAATTTTGAACCAACATCATAAAAGCAAGTTGTTTGTCTAGTCTCGCTGTGTGCGCCAGGGATTTTTCCCGAGTACATACATATTGAGCTTCCCCCAGTCAGTAGCAGTTTGGAGGAGTTTGTTTTGGTCCAAATGAGAAATTAAGTGCGGATAAGTAAACTAAGCTGCCAGAGGGCGACAAGATGTTGAGTGAATTGCTTTTAGATGAAACAAATTAAGGAAACGAGGGGAGACAATCTGCTTCTCGCATTATTAGACACGCTTGGAGTTCAGGGGAAAGTGGCATATTTTTGAAATGCTAATTTCTTAAGAAGCAGAAGGAATGCACCTTATTTACTGGTCTATGTGAATAGAATAGAAATATTGATTTCCCCCCGCTATTACAAATCATTAGGGCTTGTGGTTCTATCTCTCTTCAAAGAAACCTGAAGAAAGAGTTGTAATTTTCCCTTTAAAATTACTGGTTGACTCCTAGATGCACCCCTTCAAGATATTTGAAAGGGATGTCCCGTGACATCCCCAGGGACAGTACACTTATGTTTCCGATGCCAGTGTTCTATCCCGCAGCAGAACAATTGCATTATTGTGCATGCGTGATTTACCCAAAAAAGTGTTAGTATATATTTCATTTATTTTGCAGAAGGGAAAAACAAACACATGTAGGTTGCCTCCTGGACAAATGCAAGCAGTAATCCCATGTCCACAAACAATGTGTTACACTGTTTAACTTAGGTCTGTTCCTGAGACATATAAGTAAGGTTTCCCCATATATTTTTAAGGTGTTTCCAAATATTGCCAAGTAAACCTACATAGTTGGATTCCTATTTACATCTACAATAAACTGGCTAATGATATTGCAAGTTTAAAACAAAAACCTAAATGTACATTTCCCTTCACTGTAACTACACGTTTATGAAAAATGCATTGTGTAAAATTTCCTTCAACTCCTTTCATGGTGCTCGAAGTTTTCATGTGTTCACGAAGTTAGGAATCAAACACTTGCTCAGATTTTAATGTTGTTTGGAATCACTGGACAGAATAATGCTGCTTAGATCTCCTGACAAATATTGCATTTGTATACTGACCTAATGATAGCAATGTAATGTGATTTTTGTTGGATATATTTTCTAGGGGACAGTTGCTTTAAGTTAAACATTAAAAAGAGGGTGTAAAATCGCTCACATTTCCTTTTTGTTTTAAATAATGGGGAGATGAAGAAGTTTGACCAGTGACTGGTGCATTTACACATTCTTGACTTGGTCTGTGTTCCTATTTTTATGTAACTGAGATCAGAGCTATGTTGAAAAAGAACTGAAATGTTTTCTGTTGCTTTCATAATGATGATGTACCCTTTTATATACATATTTGGTTTTAGTTAAATGCTGCTTTTTCTGCACATGGTCATTTCTTTAGCAGTTTGACTATCCTATTTGATTTTATTTGATTTTTTTGTTTTGTTTCCCTCTTAGATTTTCCTTTGCCATGTTTTTGATTGGTTAATACCAGTAAATGAATTATTCTATTTCTTATTTCACAAGCCTTTATTCTTTATTATTCTTAGTAGAGAGCTGATTTATTATTCCTTCTGATTTTCTTCTTTTCCTCATTCTTTTCTTCTTCCTGCATAGTAGCCCCCCTCCCTTTATATTTATACTTTTTTTTTCTATTTCATACTACTTTTCTTACTCACTTCTTTTGCTTCCTTGCTATTTCTTCCCTAGCAACCTTCCACTATGGCACTGCTGGAGCTCCCTGAGGCACTTTCCATTCCTCGTTTCTGATAAATCTGATATGGCTGGCTGGCTGGCCAGTCACAAAGTCATTCCCTTGCCTATATTTATTCCTGAGAGAAAATAAAAAGGCATCGATCCAGGGTCACTTGCATATCCTCAAAGCACTGACTCCCAAGGCCAAATCTTGACTTCCAGCAAGCCTCACATCTCTCTTGGGTAAAATGCTTTACTCCCCACGCCACACAAGAAGAAAAATGTTATTTAATTAGGAGCGGAAGGAAGGAACGGTTTTAATTCTAAGCATTTACTGAGCCATGATTGACACATTCTGCTTGGCACCCGCTGAATTAGCATGTCAGGTTGTACAGGTGTGCTTTGGTTTGTAAGTAGTGAGAGCCTGATTGGGGGGGGGGGGGGGGGGGGGGAAGAGGGGCGGCTCTGACTGATTTCAGTGGGCTTTGGATCAGGCCCTAAATATTTTCTTTATTTTGAGCAGGTCACTGAGATGCCTACACCTTCACTGTTATGGGTGAGAGAAGTAGCAAGAGCTGTTAATTTCATTATCTTGCTTCTGTTGGCTGGGAAGTTTTTTGTTTTTTTTTTCTTAAACAAGCTAGTGTGTACACCCCTTGTTTGTTTGTATACTATTTGCAATGCACAGTCTTTGTAGTTTAAATTAGGTCACATGCTCAAAATACCTTGTGCTATTACTTGGAAACAGGTCAGTCCTTGCTCAATTAGCAAATTGCCAATACACACATTCCTTTTTCTGATCTACAGTACTGCAGAAGTGTTAAATAATTGCAGCCAAATTAACTGTTGTGCTCTGTGAAGTGTCCAGTTGCTCTGTGAAATGAATTGTACTTTAAATATTTTTCCACTGTTTTCTTCCTGATGAGCCTATTCAGTCTGATGTGCAGCGTCGTCTTTATGCTCAAGTCAAAGCTCTTCTCTGGGTCACGTCAGATGGGGCCTCTTTTGAAAGCTGCATCATGCCTCATCTCCAGCCGCTGTCTTTGATGCTTGGCCTCTTTGTTGCAATGCAATGGATATTCGGGGAGTTGAGCCCCACATGCCTTTGAAAAGATTTATAAAATAAATATTAACTAGAAATTGCAGCATACGGTTGGGGATGATAGAGGCAGGCCCTGAGAAAGTGAAATCCACTCAATGGGCAATATATTCTCTTGCCGCAGCTCACTTTTTCAGCGTCAGAGGAATAGTTTCCCGTTATGTTCTCCAACTGCAGGCTAACCCAAAGATTTGCAGGCCTTACTCGGGTAAAACTCCACTGATGTGTCAGCTGGAGTTCTGACCCCAGGGTTGGGCATCTAGGGCCGGACTGAGACTGGTGTGGGGATTAGAAGGCAGGCAGCCTATGCTGCTTCCCTTTGTGGGCTGGTGGGGGCAGTTTTGTCTCGAGCACAGGGTAAGACAGTCAACTTGTATTCCCATTGCAATGGCCCTGATGGGCTGTTGCAGGATTGCAGAATTTCTGATGTAACAAGACCCCTGGTCAGGC